ATACCATAGCTGTGTAGTTGAGAGGGGCGCTGGATGCTAGAGAGGCCCCCTTTTTCCCAGGCAGCCTCTCAAGCCTCCTGAGGTTTCCTCACTGTTGGTGTGTGGCCTCTGCACCTTGTATTCACGTTCTAGATTAAAAATACGGGAAAGTACTTTGTAATTATCTTCACTATTTCTGGAGCTTGTCATTTGTGTAGGTATAAAAAACTTTCTGGTATTCTTTTGAGTGAAGAACTTCAAAATTCCTTGTAGCACAGATCTGCTGGCAGTGAATTCTCTTGGCTTCTTTTTTTCTAAAGAGGTTCTTATTTCAACTCCATATTTGTAAGATATTTACTAGTGTGTAATTCTGGGCTGCCAGGAGTGTGCCCCCCACTCTGCACCTGGCAGCACCTGAAGCTGCCGCCCAGTCTTCCAGCTTCCAGCCCGACAAGAGTCTGCTGCCAAATGTCTGCTCCTCAGGGCCTGGCTTTGCTTCTCTGAACAACTGCAGGATTTTTTCTTTGTCTTTGATTTTTAGCACTTTGATATGTCCATGTGGTTACTTGTTGTTGTTATTGATTTGTTTCTTGTCCTGTTTGGGGTTCTGTGAGATTCTTGAATTTGTACCCCGATGGCTTTCGTTGTTTTTGGAAAACCTTAGCCACCATCTTTCCAAGTATTTCTTCTCCATTCCCTCTCCTCCTTCTGAGGTTCAGGTTATGAGCTGGAGTTGACATCATTTATAATGTTATTTTACCCAGCTCTTGGATGTTATATTATGCTATGGTTTTTACCCCCCCCCCCTTTTTTTCTCAGTTTGAGTAATTTCTACCAACCTAGCTTCAATTTCAGCAGCTCTTTCCTCAGTTGTCATGTCTGCTGATGAGCCCTTCAAGTCAGGTCTTTCTGAGACCATGTTTTTCTCTAGTAAAAGGAGACTTCCTTAGAGTTTGCATCTCTCTGCTGAAATTCCCCCTCTGTCCCTGCATATTATCTGCCTTTCCCACTAGACCCTTTATCATACGAACCATTTTAAATTCCCTATCTGAGAGTTACATCCAGGTCATCTCCAAGTCTTATTCTATTGACTATTTTGCCTCTTGGCAATGGCTTGGTTGTTTTTTGTTGCTTTTGTGCAAAAGATTTATAATTTTTTGTTGAATGTGTAGGACAAAAGATACTGAGGAAAATAGTATTACATCTGGAAATGAGCAGATGTTCTCTCAATCTAAACCTGTAGCATTTGAGTCAATCCCATCAGGAATTGAGATGGCTTTGGAATTTGTGGATTGCCTTCAATGTACCACAGGCCTCTAATACCTCTAGCTGTGGGCTGCAATTGCCTTGTGCTCAGGTCAGGGGCCAGGGCTCTGGAGAATATTTCTCAGGGAGGTGTTCCACCTCAGCTTTCCGCTGTCCCTCCCCTGCCTGTGCCACCCCTAGATCTCTCCCTACCCTACCCTACTCAGCGGCAGACAGCTGCTGATTGTTACTCTGTTGCAGGTTTGTACTGGGGCATAGCAAGAGGTTCTCTGTGTCCTAATCCAGCTCGGTTTAGACAGGCCATGTACCCTCAGCCTCCACATTGCTTTCTCTCCTCCCTGTGGCACCCGAACTTTGCCTTTTCTCTGCAGGGATCTTGGGTGAGTCTCCCTCCCTTCCCCAGACCTGTTTGGTATGGTGCAAGATCCTAGGCCCGAGATGGTTTCCTGGGCCCTCCCAAGGGAAAAGAATTCTTTCTTATCCTCTGCCAGCCATAGTGTGCCTTTGCCTATGCCCTGGGGTGACAGACTTTGCTGTCCTTCCTTCAGCAGCTTAAGGTATTTGCTGCCCTGGAGAAAAGGGTCTGGGACTGCAAGAAGGGCTTTGGGCCTGTTCCTACCTACAGATCAGCTCCTTTGCACCTATAGGCGGGAGGTTCTCTGCTCTACCTCCAGGGCAGAGGTGAGGACCCTGCAGTCAGACTCCGACACTTGCATCCCAGCCTTCCAGCAGCTCTGGAACCTTCTTAAACCCCATTTTTCCTTCTGTAAAATGATGGTGACGTGACTAGGAGTGAATGAGATCACAAGCAGAACCTCTGAGCACACTGGCACACATGAGCACTGGGAGAGGTGGTCATGGAGGTGATGAAGTGCCACCAAGACCCCTGTGAGCCCACCAGGCCTGAGTACAGCCCCTGAGCCCCCTTGCAACCCCAGTAAGGGCCTTTCTTCCTTTCATAGAGTCAGAGGTTGGGGGCAGCAGGAGCCTTGTGGTCTGGGCTCAGCCCTACAAGCGATACGATCTCTGTGCCTCGGTTTCCTGTGCTGTGACAGGGTACTTGGTTCCCACGTCCTGGGTTGGAAGATGACGCAGAACGGCCACAGCAGGGCCCACTTGGGAATGGTGTTGTTCTGCTTCATTTCAGAGGTGTCCTGTGGCCCATGAGCCCATGTCTGTGGAAAAGCTGACTGAGAGAGGAAGAGATGGAATTTGATATTTCCTTGGGGAGCCCTGTCCTGCAGGCTGCAGTGGGATAGAAGGCTGCCCTGGGCTGGGAACAGTGTTCTGAGACCATCCCGAGGGGCAGGGCTGGGGCAGCTCACTACTACTGGTGCCAGGGGTGGAACCTTCTGGCAGAAGGATCAGGATGGCCTCTTTGTGAGCTATGCCCTGGGAACACACCCACAACACAGCCACCTCTGCCACCTTCCCTCTACCTTGGCTAGAGGCTGGTCAAGGCCACACTTGTGGGCAGAGGCACCAGAGGCACGCTCTGGGATAAGGGTTGAGAGAGCCCTGGGGAGAAATCACAGAGGGTCCCATGCAGGAAAACACAGCTATACCCAAACACAGAATAACAGTCACACCTAACACACACAGGGTTCCATACAGGATAACACAGTCACACCCACACACAGGATAACACAGTCATACCCCACACACAGGGTCCCACACAGGATAACACAGTCACACCCACACACAGGGTC